ACGAAAGAGAATTTGGAGTGGTAAAAGGCAAGAGTGTGTGAGCTCATTAGAGGGGAGGTAAAAGCCTACGAGTGAAACACGAGTGTTGTGAGGGCTATATTGAGTGATACATGAGTGACTTTTGAGATTTGAATAATGGAGGATAATTCAACCAATGCGGGAAATGAATTTACCATTCAAGCTATGCAGCAACATTTTGCAAGGCTTGGAGGTGTTCTCGAAGGCATTACCGAACGTTTGGAAAGGTTGGAACAACAAGATCATAGAAGACACGATAATAATCAATTCTATCAACCTTATTCTAACGAGGAAGAGTTTCATGAGCCTCCACACCGTGGCAATAGAGGAGGAAGGAGAAGGCGAGATAATGAAGTAGATCGTGACTTGGGAAGCATAAAACTGAATATTCCCACATTCAAAGGAAGAAGTGATCCGGAGGCATATTTGGAGTGGGAAAAGAAGACGGATCTCATTTTTGAGTGTCATAACTACTCCGAGGAGAAGAAAGTGAAGCTTGCTGCGATTGAGTTCACTGACTATGCTATTGTTTGGTGGGATCAATTAACCACTAACCGAAGGCGATATGGTGAGAGGCCTATCTCTAATTGGGCTGAAATGAAGTCCATCATGCGTAAAAGATTCGTCCCTTCACATTATTTTCGTGACTTGTATCGAAAACTCCAAACTATGTCACAAGGAACGAAAACGGTGGATGAATATTTCAAAGAGATGGAGATCGCTATGATAAGAGCGAATGTTGATGAAGATCGGTAGGCCACTATGGCGAGATTCTTGAGTGGGCTGAATCGGGACATTGCGAACATTGTGGAGTTGCAGCACCACATAGAACTCGAGGATATGGTGCATACAGCCATGAAAGTGGAAAGACAACTAAGGACGAAGGGATCCTCTCAACGAAGTTTTTCGTCGAACCTTTACCCATCGAGCAAGGCGAAAGAAGGAAGTTCGAAGATAAATTTTGGGGCAGCTTCTAAAACCCAAAATGAGACTTCTAATACTAAGGGTCATATGGTTGATAAAGGCAAGGCTGTCGCATCATCATCTCGAAGCCGTGATATCAAATGTTTCCGTTGTCAAGGCTTTGGCCATATTGCTTCCGAATGCATTAACAAGAGAGTCATGATCTTGAGGGAAAATGGTGTAGTAGAATCTGAAAGTGAGCATGAATCCAGCGATGACGAGCAAGCCGAGGAGACCACACCTAAACATGGAGAGCTTTTGGTGGTGAGAAGAGCTCTTAACATGCAAATCAAGGTGGAGGAAGCTGAAAAGCAAAGGGAGAACATCTTTCATACGAGATGTTTAGTTCTTGGGAAGGTTTGCATGCTGATTGTTGATGGAGGGAGTTGTGCTAATGTCGCTAGTTGTGAAATGGTGGAGAAGCTGAATTTACCAACCACAAAGCATTCCAATCCATACAAGCTGCAGTGGCTAAATGATTGTGGAGAAATTCGAGTGACGAAACAAGTGTTGGTGTCATTTTCAATCGGCAACTACAAGGATAAGGTCCTATGTGATGTAGTGCCAATGCATGCAAGCCATATCCTTTTGGGTAGACCATGGCAATTTGACAGAAGAGTGACTTATGATGGTTTTCTTAACCGTTACAGTTTGAAGCATGAAAACCGGAGCATTCAACTTGTTTCTTTGAATCCACAGCAAGTGCGAGAAGATCAGTTCAAAATGTCTCAATCAAGAAAATTGAGAGAAAGTGAGAAAAAGAAAGAAAAGAATGAGGGAAAAAATTTGAGACAAAAAAAGATTGGAGGGAAAAACCAAGAAGAAATGTGTGAGATTGAGGGAAAAGAACTAAGTGTGGATGAGGGAAAAAAAAGGCTGAATTTTTATGCAAAAGCCAGTGAGATAAAGAGGGCAATATTTGAAAGGAAAATTGTGTTAGTGATGGTGATCAAAGAGTCGTTTTTGAACACTAACGAGCTAACCCCATCTTTGCCTAGTGCTTTTGTGTCTCTTTTGCAGGAATATGAAGACGTGTTCCCCGAAGAAGAGCCAAGTGGATTACCGCCTATAAGGGGAATCGAACATCAGATTGAGTTCATTCCGGGAGCTATACTTCCAAACCGTCCAGCATATAGGGCAAATCCAGAAGAGACGAAGGAAATTCAGAGGCAAGTGGAAGAGTTGATGGCGAAAGGGAAGATACGAGAAAGCATGAGTCCATGTGCTGCACCGGTAATCGTGGTGCCGAAGAAAGATGGATCTTGGAGAATGTGTACAAATTGTCGAGCCATCAATAAAATCACGGTGAAGTATCGCTATCCTATTCCTAGGTTAGATGATATGCTTGATGAATTGTATGGTGCTGTCATCTTCACTAAAATTGATTTGAAAAGTGGTTATCATCAAATTAGAATTCGTGAAGGAGATGAATGGAAAGCTGCTTTTAAGACAAAATATGGTTTATATGAGTGGTTAGTCATGCCTTTTGGTTTAACTAATGCACCAAGCACTTTCATGAGATTAATGAACCATGTTTTGCGTGACTTTATAGGGAAATTTGTTGTGGTTTATTTTGATGACATCCTCATCTATAGCAAAAGCAAAGAAGAGCATCTTGATCATGTTCGTGCTGTTTTGGACACTTTAAGAACTGAATCATTGTATGCTAATCTTAAAAAGTGTTCTTTTTGCATGCATAAAGTTGTTTTTCTTGGATTTGTTGTAAGTGGTGATGGAATAGAAATGGAAAAAGATAAGGTCAAAACTATTTTGGATTGGCCTGTTCCTAAAAGCATTGCTGAAGTAAGAAGTTTTCATGGTCTTGCTAGCTTCTATAGGAGGTTTGTGAAAGATTTTAGCACCATTGCTGCAGCATTAAACGAAATTGTGAAAAAGGAAGTTGGTTTTCAATGGGGAGAAAAACAACAACTTGCTTTTGATCTTTTAAAAGAAAAATTAACTTCTGCACCTATTCTTGCTTTGCCTAACTTTGATAAATCTTTTGAGCTTGAATGTGATGCTTCTGGAGTAGGTGTAGGTGCTGTTTTGTTGCAGGAAGGAAAACCCATTGCATATTTCAGCGAGAAGTTGAAAGGAGCTCAATTGAACTACCCGACGTATGATAAGGAGTTGTATTCCTTGGTGAGAGCATTTGAAACTTAGCAGCATTACTTGTGGTCGAAAGAGTTTGTGATTCATACGGATCACGAGTCTCTCAAGTACTTGAAGGGCCAAGGTAAGTTGAGCAAGAGGCATATCAAATGGGTGGAATTTATTGAATCATTTCCTTATGTGATCAAATACAAAAGAGGCAAGGAAAACATTGTAGCTGATGCCTTATCTCGAAGGTATGCTTTTTAATCACTACTTTGAGTTCTAAGCTTCTTGGATTTGAGTCGATAAAGGATAGATATGCCACTGATTCTGATTTTGGGTCGATTTACTTAGCTTGTGAACATGCTGCATTTGGTAAGTTTTAAAAGCATGATGGTTACTTGTTTCGTGAGAATAAACTTTGTATTCCTAAATGTTCTATTCGAGAATTGCTGGTTACGGAGGCACATGGGGGAGGATTAATGGGACATTTCGGTGTACATAAAACATTGGAAGTATTGCGTGATCATTTCTTTTGGCCTGGTATGCGTGTTGATGTGGAGAGAATATGTGAGAGGTGCATAACTTGCAAATGTGCTAAATCAAAATCAAAAACTCATGGTTTGTATCAGCCTTTACCTATTCCTAATGAACCGTGGGTGGATATTTCTATGGACTTTGTTTTGGGTTTACCTAGAACTAGTAGAGGTAGAGATTGTATTTTTGTGGTTGTTGAAAGATTTTCTAAAATGGCTCATTTCATTCCATGTCATAAAAGTGATGATGCTATGCATATTGCTGATTTGTTCTTTCGAGAAGTTGTACGTTTGCATGGGGTTCCAAAAACCATTGTGAGTGATCGAGATGCAAAATTTTTAAGTCATTTCTAGCGTGTGTTCTGCAAAATTTGCATGGGGACCGATCACGAGGGCAAGGGCTAAGAAAATGAAGGAAGCCTTGAGTGTTCTTATTGCTTAATTTCAAAAGGAGTCGAACCAAATCCCGATAGAAGGCAAATTGATGAATATTCTTCAAGTTGATGGGCCAAATTGTTCGCATGAAGATTGGTCCATGGATTGAAGACATAATTCCGTCCATATCATGAGGCCCAATTGAAGTGTCCATTATTTTGTCCATTTTTAGCATTTGTGAGACCATTTTGTCTCTTAAGTTGTCTTAGAAGTCAAAGGGTCATTCAAACTTCATGTTAGCTTATTTATGAGGTCAAAGTTGTGTCTTTATTTTGTCTTGAGTCCCAAAAACGGGATTAACTCATCAGCCCTTTTGTAGCCTTTAAAAAGGTCATTTTATGTTTTAATGAAATATATGAATTTTGCTGAATATTAAAAATCACTTTTGTGAGTTTGAATTCTCTTTTGTAGCGTTTCAAGTGTTTAAGAACTTATCAAGATTTTTGAGCAAGATCTTGTGGCGTTCACCATACCGAGGTTCTTAGCTGATTATAGCTAACGGGTCGAGGTTTTCAAGCTCTAGGTATGATCAAACTAGATCTACGATCTGGGATTCCGCTGTCTATTTTATACGTTTGGTTCTTGGATCAATATATCCAACGGGTCTAACGTCATATCCGTATCATTGTATACATTTAAAGAAGTCGAGGAAAATAAGAGTAATAGGGACCAAAAACGAAAA